CCTCGACCGCGACCTTGTTGCCCTCGTCCCTGACCTCGTTGTTGTCGACCGTGACCTTCTCGATACCCTTGGCATTGCCGTCCAGGTCGGCGCCGGTCCCAGCGCTGCCCCCGCCCGCGCCGACTTCGGTCTCCTAGGGAAATGGAAAGCAACATCCCATCCATCTCCTATCCCATTACCTCTGCTACCCCATATGCGGCAGCGGTGCAGCTGATACTTGGAGGGGGACGGCTGGAATGTTCAGGAGCGGCCCTCTGGAGGTCATGGATGGGAGTCTGGCGAGGCCGAGCGGGTGAACCGCTGAAACTAGCCAGAGCTCGGCGGACCCAGGGGCAGACAGTTGCTCCATCACCTAAAAGGCGGGCCAGAGGCACAGTCATCCAGTGCAGCCCGCCAGTCGGGCCCAGGCGTCCCACGGCGGGGAAAACATAGGATGAGGAAAAGGAGGGGGAGGAGAGGGAGGAGGAGGAGGAGGAGGAGGAGGAGGAGGAGGAGGAGGAGGAGGAGGAGGAAGAGGAGGAGGAGGAGGAGGAGGAGGAGGAGGAGGAGGAGGAGGAGGAGGAGGAGGAGGAGGAAAGCAGGACGAGGAAGAGCGGGAGGAGGAGCGGGAAGAGGAGTTCCCGCGGCCCACCTTCGAGGCGTCCTCGGGTACTGCAGGTTTGTGCGACGCGGCCCTTCGAGTCGTCGTGCAGCATGGGTGTCTCGGACGAGGGCGAATCGGGGTCGATGACATCGGGAGCTGCAGCAGCTGCAGCCTTGGCCTGGGCCTGTGAATCAGGTAGGGTAGGGGCCCCTGTCTCGGCTCTTGCGGGCTCGATGGCCTTCTCTATTACATCGATTCGCATCCTCGGCGACATAGTCGGAGGACGCCATGGCAACGCCCGCTGGCTAGATCTTGGGGCGCTGGCGTCTGCTCAAAGTGTTCCAGCCAAAACGCAAACAACGGACGAACGAGGCATGGCAGTCTCACCTGGAACGGGGGGGGCCGCCTCCAACTCCCTCTGGCAGTTTTCTGCATTCTTGGCATCGCTCGGACGCGTGCATCTTTCCCTCGGCGAGGACCACCGGGGAGCATCCTTGATCATGTGGCGAAAAAACCACGCACGAAACCGACAAATAATCACAGGAAAGGGACGTCCGAGCGATGGCCAGCATTTGCACAGGTGCAGGCTCGCCCCCTCGGGCGACCAGGCGCGGCCCAGTCCGCCCGGGCGGTGCCGCTCGGTGCGCGCGCGCGCGTCGGCCCTTGGGCGCTCTCTCGGGGCTGCTCGCGCGCGCGCGCGCGCCGCGCGCCCGAACGGAGACCGTCCTCTCGCGCGCGATGGGGATGATATATTGATATGGTCGCCCCCCCCTCCTCCTCCTCCTCCATCTCCTCCTCCTCCTCCTCCTCCTCCTCCTCCTCCTCCTCAGGAGAGGAAGGGGCACGAGCGGCAGCAGCAGGCGAGGAATACGATGAGGACGACGCCTACGAAAGAACGAAGAAGAATCAACATAAGAAGATGAAGAATACGCTGAATACGAAGAAAACTAAGACAACGCATAGGAATAATGATACGAAGAAGAATAATAATACGAAAAGACGAAGCTGTATGATCATGTGGGGGGGGGGCGAGCATCTATATACCCAGCCCATTTGGGTCTGAACGGGGTGGGGTCCTACCGCGATGCAATTGCCCCATCGAGATGAAGATGAGCTCCGCCATGTAATATCCATACGGGTGATGTGATATCTGTTCTGGATGGGCTGGCGGGGTGCACGCAGCGTTCAGAATCCGTTCCACACCCTCAGGGTATTGCTAGGATGTTCGACCAGGGCCCGCTGAGCCATCAAACAGCTAAACTTTCAGCTGAACGCTCGAGAGGCCATGTGTTGCGGGTACTATGGGGGGGGGATCTCTGGAGGGGGAGAGCGAGGATGAGGAGGCAGACCTGTTCTCTGGCCAGCGGGTCACTTGTCCATCGCCACGCAGGGCGGTGATGTAGAAGCTGCTGCTGCTGTTGCTGGCGGTGCCGGTGCAGCTGGATCTGCAGCTCCCTCGGGGAGGATGCGGGTATGGTCATCAATACTCTTCTATCCCCCCACGAATCGTCCTGAGTCTCCTGATCACCATCCTCCACCACCTAGTCCTCCTCCTTCGCTTCCTCGTCCCCCCGATTCCTCATGAGTTCCCTAATGGTCACCATCTGATCTCCTCATCCTCCAATCCTTTTCACGAGCGCCGAGCTCCTCGAACTTCTTGGTCCCGCTGATCTCCTTGTCCTCAGGCTCGTCTGGTCGTGGTCGTTTTGCTTCGGCAGTTAGTAGTACTTCAGATGCAGCTGGTCGTTTTGCTGCCGGCCTCTTGAGTACCTGCTGCGCTCATGCTCTGCGGGATCATGCTGCGTGAAGTCCACCTTCCTCTGTAATCTGCCGTCTATCGTCGCGCGGCCTGCGACGACATCCTCCGCTGCAGCGCGCATCCATGCAAAAGCGGGCGCAGGGTCTCCGCCGAAGTGCACGGCATTTATCTGGAACACTTGGGCGCCGTTGATCTTCACGTCGGCGAGGTGCTGATTGGCCTTGCCTTTTTCGTTGGTTGAACCTGAAACCCGCCACAACTCGTTCGCCGTTTCGCCTAAGCCATCACCAACTGCTGAAGCTACTGCGTCTGCATCTGCGGCGCCGCCGCCTGCTGCAACTGCTGCGTCTGGTGCGCCTTCACCTGCTGCAGCTTGGCCGTCTTCTGTAGGTATTGCTGGTGCTCTAGGTTTAGTAGCATGTGCGTCGACTGCAGCGTCGAGTGTCATGGGCTTGGCGCCGTGCAGCGTCTCGTACATGGCCACCGTACACTGCGAGTCGCACCTCGACGTGCCATCTTCCCAGAGGGCCATCATCGCGTCGAACGGCTTGAAGTCAGCAGTCGTCGTACATGAGCTTCGCGTACTCGACTGGCTGGCCTGGCTTCCAGCCCTCGCGGGTGCGGAGTACCATGCCGAACTCACTCTCGAAGCCGTACGCGTTCGTGCCAATTGTTCTTGCGATTGGCTTGGGGTGGCGAGGGCGGTGGGTGGGTGGGGATTTGGGAGTAAAGATGTGAGAGTTTTATCATACATCCTGGATGCACGCCTTTCCATGCGCACTTCCCGCACACGCGGAAGGCACGCGCGAACGAGACGACGTTAAACCTCGACCTCAGCGGAGGAGGACGAGGAGGAGGAGGAGGAGGAGGAGGAGGGACATCCCGAGTTTGGTGCCCGATGTCCTCGTGGCCTCCTCATGATGCCCTCGACCATCGGATCCTCTGCCACGAGGTTCGTCTCCTCCTCGCTCAAGGGCGTGAGCTCCAAGCCCGCGAACCACGCAGCTCAGACGGTTCGCCTTGGGACGTCGCGATACGTGTCAACGCTGATCCGATTTACATCGATCCATCGCCCTTTGAATGCAAATGAATGGAGTGAGGTAACAGAGGTCGGCGTCCGTTGGTGTTGAGATGTGTTTTACCAGGTTCTGCTCCAGAGCTGACTTCGGTAAATCACACATCTCAACATCAATTGGGGGAGGGTAAACGCATTCAGTACAGTGTCGCCGCTTCTCGCCCGGCGTGGACACCCAGCTGGCGAGCTCGCAGCCCTCGAGGGAGAGCTTGCTCTCCGCGGCCTCCTGCAGGGCCTCGCCGAGTGAGCTCGGGGAAATGCTCATCGAGTTGGAGAGGGCATCGAACTCGCGCACGAACTCCTCACTGGGTTGATGGAGGGAATGGGGAGCAGGATCCTTCTCCCCCTCTCCCTTCCATTCCCTCCTCACCTTCCTCTCATCCCCCTCTTCCTTTTTGTCCTCCTCCTCCGACCCTCATCGGCTCGCCCATCCCCCTCCTCTTCCTCCTCTTCCTCCTCTTCTCATCTTCCTCTTCCTCACCACCACCATCATCATCATCATCATCATCATCATCATCATCATCATCATCATCATCATCATCACTATCATCATTCTTATCATAATTTTCATTATCATATTCACCACACACAACATAATACTCATCACCATCGCCATCATCAGGATCACCATCAGCATCACCATCATCATCGCCATCACCATCACCATCAGCATCATCATCACCATTATCATCGTCATCATCATCCATACCATTATCATCATCGTCATCAGCTTCATCATTACCATCACCATAATTGTCATTATCATCTTCTTCATCAGCATCACCATCATCCTTATCAGCATCATCATCACTCCTCCTCTCTCCTCGGGATCGCTCCTTGTTCTCCCTGATCGCATCAGGGTCCATGCTGGCGGGCGGCACCTTCTTGGTGCCGATCTTCTTGCGCACCCTGATCGGGTACACCAGGAAATTGGCCTGTGGGAGGGAGAGAAGGAGGACGAACACGAAGAGAAGGAGGGAACGACCTGGTCTTTCCCTCCTTCTCGTCGAAGGTCCTAGTTCGCAGGGGAGCAACGGAACTCAACGACCTAGATCGAAGGAGCGACCCGAAAACCAGAGCCTGTCCTGAAACTAAAACATGATTATACAGGGGGGCCTCCTTATGATTTTCTCCCGTCCCTCGGCGCCTTCGTCAATCTGGGCTTGATGATTTTCACCATGGCACGCACATGTGAAAACTTAGGCGCATCTCGTCGACAACAGCCATCGCTCGAGCCGCCGTAGCTGCTCGAGGGCAAGCGAAATCATCTCCTTCTCCCCACATGCACTCGAGGGAGGGAGGGGGAAAGTGTGGGGAAGGGATTGAGCGAGGATGGGGCCGTCATTGTATCTATATATATATAGTATATATGTATATATACATGGCATGATCATACCGTCGTAGTTACAATATATCTACGTGCACATATACACATGGAATATGCACAATGCTACGTGTTGCGTTCGAGCTTCTATGGTTCATGCATGTTTTCGCCCGTAAAGCGTGGCTTTCGCCGGAAATGTGTGGCTTTCGCCGGAGAGAGGCTTTCCGCCGGAATGGGCGGGTGACAAGCTTCCACCGGCATGCACCCCTGGGTCTGCCGCAGCCGCCCAGTCTGCGACCGCGCCGCCGCTCGCCCGCGGCGTCGTGGGCACCTCGAGGCCGCCGCCGACTCCGCTGCCGACGTGCGCCCCGGCGCGGCCGGGGGGCGCAACCGAGGGCTCATCGCCGCCGCGGGCGTGGCCGCCCGCCCGGGCTGCCGGGGCGGCCTCGTCCAGCGCAGCGCACTTCTGGCCGACGGGGTAGCCCTCGTCGAGCGTGCCCTCGTCGGGCAGCCGCGTGCGTTGCCAGCGCTGCTCCTGCAGGCGTCTTTCGACCGTGCCCCGGTGCAGTTCCCGACCTGGGCAGGGAGGTGTTCGACTGAGTCCCGGCGGCTTCCGCCGATGGCCCGTCGGAGGGGCGCGCCCGACTGATGGCCGGCCGCGTGTCGCGCACGGCCCCTTTTCCTGGTCGCATGGCGGAGATCTGGCTCCCGGATTTCGGCCAACCTTTGCGGTCGTTTGACAGCCACTCCGACTTGGCGACCTCCACGTCTTTCCGTCCGGCGGGCAGGATGTGCTGGCCGTCGCCCTTCGACAGCGCGGAGAAGATCTGGCGCGCGAGCGTTGATCCGGCGCCCCCAGACAAAAAATAGAAACGTTGATATTGCGCCTCCTCTTCCTCCTCCTCCTCCTCCTCCTCCTCCTCCTCCTCCTCCTCCTCCTCCCACAGGTTCTGTTTCGATCCGATTCGATATCGGTTTTGGCGTGCCCGATTCGATTTCGATATTCCTGCGATCCGATATTCTGGCGTTCTGGTCCAGCGATTCCGGTTTTCCGGCGATCCAGTGTTGTGCATCATGGCGCGGCCGATCCGATTCGGATTCGATTCCGTGCCGATGCAGGCCGATCCAAACGACCTTCCGATTCCATCCGCTTTTTTGGTTCGATGTTGACTGATCCTGTTCCTCTCCAGTCCACGGGCCCAGCGTCTTGTCAGCGCGATGTCTGATGCGTGTTGTGGGTCCTTGAATTGTTATAATTGTGCTTAGGTTAATCGCATCTGGCGCATGACAGACGATCTAGGTAGTGGGGATGGGGATGAGGTGGAGGAGGAGATGGGGGAAGCTGCGTTGGCTGTAACTAACTAACAGACAGGAACATGTGCGACGCTCTGACGTGCTATTTGCGGAAGCGGTGTGTATAGTGCACACGCGGTACAGTTGATTGCGTTGATCGCGACATCTTGGTCGTATCAAGCAGACTCGTCTCGATTATGTTCGCTCATGTGTTCACCACACGAGTTTTGAGGACGGCGTGTTTTTCCCCAATCAGAGCTTGCCTCTGTAGGGGTCCTAGCGGATTGAAGGATTAGGTGAGAGGTGCGGCCGATTTCGGTGGCCGGGCCCGGGTGCCCGGGTGCCCAGGTGCCCGGCGGTGCCCGGGTGCCCGGGTGGCCGGTGAGGTGCGTGGCCGATTTCGGTGGCTGGGCTCGGGTGCCGGGGGGCCCGGGGGCCTGGGGGTGCCCGGGTGCCCGGGGGTGCCCAATAGCCCAGTAGCCCTATAGCCCTATAGCCCTATAGCCCTATAGCCCTATAGCCCTAATAGCCCTATAGCCCTATAGCCCCATAGCCCCATAGCCCATATAGCTATATAGCCCCATAGCCCTATAGCCCTATTGCCCTATAGGTCACAGTCCTATAGCCCTATAGCCCTATAGCCGTATAGCCCTATAGACCTATATCCCGATAGCCCTATAGCCCTATAGCCCGATAGCCCTATAGCCCTATAGTCCGCCCTATAGCCCGATTACAAAGGGAGCAATTTGAAGATTAAAACATCTGATTGTTTTTTTCTCTGGTCTCATTTTTATTTGTTTGTCATGATGGTGGTGCACGTGCAGGTTTGTATTTGGCATGTGGTACTTGTTGGGAAAGTAAAGTATCCGGTGCGCTCTTGGAGAGCCTTGATCGTCACGTTGGCAAGGCTCGTATGCGGAAAACGGTGAAACACCATTCGTCGATTCTGCGATCCCCAGCATTGCCATCCACCAGAGAGGAGGGAGTCATCTTCATTCGGGGACGCTCGCTCTCGAAACCTCTTGGGAAGCGCATCGATGTTGTCTCTCAAAGCCTTAAACAAGACGCTCTTTTGCTTGATGTGTGCTAGTATTTAGCAAAGTAGCTTGCCAGTGCGGTCCTTGCTCGGCAAGAGAGGCAATTCCAAAGGTGTGCTGGTCGCCACCAAGGACAAGCAGAACAAGAAGGCCTGCACCATACCCACCTCGTGCCACGGCAAGGTCTTGCAGACACAGTATATTCCCCAGGAGCGGGCGCCCCTTGTTGACCGCAAGACTGAGCGGCTGGACGAGGGAATACTGAGTGGGGACGAGGCCAGCGAGGCCAACGAGGCCAGTGAGGGGAGGAGGCCAGTGGGGGGAAAATGCACGGAGCAGGCCGCTTGCACATTTCTGCTGTGTGCTTTTGCTGTATTGCACTATGCCGTCGCGCCCGGTGGTCTGGAACTGGCCGGCCTGCGCGGGCCTTGCGTCATGGGGGGCGATACACTGGGAGGGGGGGTAGAGAAGGGAGAAAGGAGTACCTTCAGGGCACCGTCGCTGCCTTGAAGGGACCCTCAGGGGCCCACAAGGGGCATGACAGATGTACGCTTCTTCGCCCTCTCGGTTCTGGATCCCCCATTCGAGCCCCTGCCCGCGCTCGTTCCCAGGGGGTGGCAGCGATTCTCCGATAGGAGTGGTGATAGCGCCCCTGTGGGGAAGCGGAGCCGAGACGCAATCGGAGCGGGGGATGTTGCTGATGGGTGTTTGCAGTGGAAAAGCAGTGACCATCCCCCCGGCCCCCCACAACAATGAAGCAACGCCCAAACCCCGGTGCCGTGAAACCTTGCTGGCGGCAGGCGGCGTGACGGCAGGCCGGCGCGGGCAGGCGGCGAAGCGGTAATTGCTCCGGGCAGGCCCAGGACGAAGATGAGCCGCTCCGGGGCGCTCCGCGGAGCGCTTCGCCAGCCTGAATCAGCCACGCGCAGAGGGAGGGCAGGGGGGAGGGGGGAATGCCGCTTCTTAGAAGCACCCCTGCTTCTTAGAGCGCACGGGCCTTGTCTGTAGACGTAGGGTCGGTTCCTTCTAAGAGGCAGCCTCCTTCCAAGAAGCCTTCCCCCTCTCCTTACCCCCTTGTGCCCGCCGCCAACTGAAGCAGACGTACCCCTCTCCACATGATCGGCACCACCTTTTCTCTGTGCCGATCTCAATGATTTCCTCGGCTTCTGAGGTCTATGCCCCCCAGATGGGGTCTGAGCAGATGGGGTCGGAGAATCGCGCCGCATCGTCGATGCATCGGCGACGCGGCTCGATGTGCAGCCCAAATTTCTCCACGTCGACGTCGCCGATGCATCTCCCACGTCGCCGATGCATCGGCGATGCGGCGCGATCCTCCGACCCCGTCCGCTCGGGCCCCATTGAGGAGGCCTCTCTGTCGGAGCGCCTCCCGAAGATTTGTCATCGCCCCGGGCATGCCGAGCGTAGGAGGAGGGATGAGCTCCAGGCGTGGAGCGCTCTCGGGGGCGCTGTGGAGCGTCCGTTGCGTCCTCCGTGCCCGCTGACGCCCAGTGGTTCACGAAAGCGACGCAGGGAAACGGGGCCATCTCCGCCGACATTCGCGCACAAGCTGCCCGCGCAAGGTCGCGCGCAAGCGCCCTCGTTTCCAGTGTGGCGTACCCTGTTGGCGGCCCGCGTAAGTCACAGCGTAAGGTCGCCATGCCATCTCGCGCGGGACGCCTTTGTTTTCGTCGCTCACAAGTTGGGGCTCAAGCGCATTCGGGTCAAGATCTGTTGCGCGTGCCCTCTTTTATTTTTTTTATTGCACCGATTCGGCGCTTACCATTGCAAACAATGGACGCGTTCACGAGGCGTGCTTCATCTCAGTGCTTTCACAGCGATGAGTATTTTGAGACCTACGCGAACCCTCACCCATTCGACCAAGCATCAGGTGGCATGTGTACGTCGTTGCCCAGTTGGGGCTCACTGCCCACCATGCAGCCGGTCACCATGCAGTCGCTGCTTGCCCGGCAGGAAAGCCACCCCATGTTGCAGTCGAGCGGCGGCGAGTCGTGGAATACTGTTGTTGAGTTCGACGACCCACGCGGGCGTCGGCGGGCAGAAATCCAAAGCATCAACCCATCCGAGCACGCGCAGGATTCAGCCCAATGGGGCCCTGGCGGCGCCCCCTCGGCGGCCGATGCGCAGCTGCCACCTCGGCCTGGAGACGTTCTGCTGCTCCGTGGCCAGCCGCTGCCGCGCAGGCAGGAAGACCACCCCATTTTGCAGTCGAGCGGCGGCGAGTCGTGGCAGACCGTGGACGAGCTCGACCGCCCGCGCGGGGGCGCTCTGCCTCCGACCACCGTAGGCGCTCCGCTGCCCGATCGCTCCGCGGGGGCGGCGCCAGCCTACTCACCGACCAGGCCGCCCGGCATGCCGCCGCGTTCCACCGCCGAGGCGTGGCTGGCCGCGGGCCCCCCAGGCGAGCCAGACCGCGCGGCGCGGGCGAGACAGCCGGCCAGCGGAGGGCGGGCAGGGGCCTCCAGTGGCGCGCTCGCGGCCGCCGCGGCGCTGGCAGACGTGCGGGCCCGGCTCCTGGCGCAGGAGCAGCTGCTGGCCCAGGTCCAGCCGCAGGCCCAAGACGTCCGGCGGAGGATCCGCGAGCAGCAGGCCGACCTGGCGGAGATGGAGCTTCAGCAGGGCGAGCTCGTCAACAGCATGCCTGCAGCCACCGAGGAGGCGGCGCCCGCCACCCCTGGCGCTCCAGCAGTCACCACGCTCATGATCCGCAACATCCCGATGTCTATGACGCAGCGTGACCTGCTGGACCTCATCGACAGGGCTGGCTTCGAGAACCGCTACGACTACGCCTACATGCCGGCAACTTTTGACAGTGGTACCACTAGAGGGATCGCATTTGTGAATTTTGCCACCTCAAGCGACGCACGCGAGTTTTCCGTCTTGTGGAACGGATCGCGACTGACAGGAGTTGCCGGTGTTGGAACCAGCGGGACCGTGATCGAGGTCACCGTGTCGGCGACGCAGGGCTATTCGGAGAACGTCAGGATGTGGAAGGCGAGCCGGCTGCGCCGCATTAGGAACCCCAATTTTCACCCCTTCATCGCCCCGAGGCCAGCTGCCTGATGAACGCGCGGTTGACATTTTCACTGGATGCGCGGGATGTGGGGGATGGGGGGGAGCGCGGGGGAGGCCAAGGAGGACGAGGACGGGGACGCGGGCACCGCGTAGCGCGCCCCGGAGCGCGCCAGTTGGCGGCGACGGGCCGTCGCCACCACGAGCTGCCCCCCTAGCGGGCAGCCCAGCCAGGCCGCGCGATCAAGGCGGGCCGTGTGCAGAGAGAGATTTTTGTTAGTGCGCTCGCTTGAATTTGAATCTCGAACTTGCACGCAGTCGTGGACCATCATCGCCCGCAGAGCTTCACGTAGTATTTTCGCATGTGCGAGATCAGTATTCAATCTGAGAAAGTTTCAATGGTTCTAAATGGGCAGCTTCCCTGGCCACATGGGCCCGAGGTGCTCATTTCGATTGCCCAGGTGCCTGAGGCCTCCGCGACCGACTGGAAATACCTGGTCGGCCGACCGTGCCCTTGCCACTGACTTTGATTTGTTCAAAGAATTATAATCGAGGCTTTTTTTAATGTCAGCCTTTGTTCAAAGCTTTCGTGCGAGGGCTGTGCCCACTGCCTCCCATTGTTCATTGAGTACTCTCGCCGCCCCAGCTGCCGTGTGTCCACCGCGTGGCACCGAAACCTTCGGATGCCAGCGCTCGGCTGCAGCAGGCGTGTTTTTGTTTTTCTGCCCACGTCGCAGGGCCGAATACAGGCACTCGAAGCCTTGCACGACTTCTGGGCGCGTGGCACTCGCTGGCGCCTTCGCACTCCTCCACTCCTGGGGACCCCCCCAAAAGAAAGAAGTTGCCCCTCCGCCCGAGTTTGTCGCTGCCCCGCTTTCGTCCTGCGCAGGTCTGGGGCGATGGCCGCCTGGTGATTGTGGAAGCGCTGATGGTCTCCAGCAGCCTCCGGAGGCCCAGCGACCGCCCCCACGAGCGACAGGCGTCGAGCTCCGATCCTCGGCCCTCCCTCTCGTCCTCGACCTTCGATCCTCGACCTCTGATCCTCGAGCCTGGCCGGCGGCGTGGGCCCGTGAACGTGCCGCCAGGGCATCCGAGCCCTGCCCCTTGCACTCTGGACTTGCCCGCCATAGCTGGTGCCCCCCCCCCCCTCCGCCGCCTCCGGCACGCAGCGTGTCTCAGAGCCCCGAGTTATCGGGGCCAGATTCGGGCCTCTCGTTTCTGGGCCGGGGTTGCCCCGGATTGCAGTCACTCCTAGTTCTCCCAGGTCACCATTCTGTCCCAGGGAGATGCTGCCCAGTTCTCGATCCGGAAGCAGGAGTTATCCCAGATCCAGCGGCTTCAGGGCTTTCCCGGATTTCATTCGGGCGCGCCAGCACCAGACAGGGCCGTAGTAGACGAGGTCTATCCCAGAGTCGTCGTCGAAAGGAGAGGGGGAGGATCGCACGGGGCCTGGACGAGGATCAATCCGTTCCAGAGCGTTCCGGAACGCTCTCAGAGCGTTCTGGAACGCTCTCGGAAGGCCGCGGCGCCCGAGACATCCTCCAGAGCCGCCGGATCTCAGAGATTCTCGATTTGTCGTGACCCGAATTTATCCTCATCCTGGCTTCGTCTTAGAGGAGGGAGTCTTCGCTGGCTCTTGGAGATTTTCTCGACTCGGGAGGTTCTCCAGCACCCGCGCCTCGTCGAGAGCCTTTTCCGGGTGTGCCCGATCGTCCCCGAGAAGGCCACGCCGGAGGCCTGGCGTATGGTTCGAAAGCCACGAGGCGTCGAGGGGAGTCCCGTCCTCATCCTCCTCCACCTCCTCCTCCTCCTCCTCCTGCTCCTCCTCCTCCTCCTCCTCCTCCTCCTCCTCCTCCTCCTCCTCCTCCTCCTCCTCCTCCTCCCTCCTCCCTCCTCCCCCTCCCCCTCCCCCTCCTCCTCTCCTCCCTCCTCCTCCTCTCCTCCTCCTCCTCCTCCTCCTCCCCTCCTCCTCCTCCTCCTCCTCCTCCTCCTCCTCCTCCTCCCCTTCCCCCTCACGAGCCAGGAGGCTCGTGACTTATGCTCGAAAACCCTAAGTAGGGGCGTGTGGGCACCATGGATGCGGCCATCACGTTGCCTAGTTTCCGTGCCTCCGAGTCCAGGGCGCCCCCCCTCCCGTGTCCCCAGGCACTCGAGACGGAGGTGTTTCCCGGCTTTCGGCCTCCTTGGGAGCGTGCCTATGTCCCCGGGGCCATCAAAGAATGATCTGGGGTGAAACGCTGGTCCTCTGGAAGTGGTCGAGAGGTCCTGGGCCAGCGGCCGCACTGAAATAGTGCAAACGTTTGAGGTCTGGGTCCTTTTCCTCCTTGACCAAGCCTGCCCCTTCTCTGACTCCTCTTCACCCTCCACGACAATTACGTACTCGATATGAATACTAACTCTTCCTTCTCCCATGCCTCTGCGCGGAAAACGTCCCGCTCTTTCCGCGCATTGGATTTACATACACTATTTCAGCATGTGATCTGTCCCAAGTGTTTTTTACAATCGGAGCGTTCTCGGAGTTTCAAAATGGTGTTCTCGCTGCGGTGTCGGCGTTTTGCTCCCGTCGTTGAAGACGGCGCTCTCACCGCAGCGCGGGCCACTTTTTTGGATCCGAGTCCTTCCTCATCGTTGCCGCCCCCTCCTTTTCCTTCCTCCTCCTTCCAGTGGGTTTTCCTGCTCCTCCCGCTGCTTCCACTCCAGCTCCTGGTGGTGGTGCTGCTGCTGGTTGTGCTCGTCCTCCTCCCTCCCTCCTCGTCGTCCTTCTCCTTCTCCTATTACTCCTACTCATCCTTCTGATCATCCGCCACATCCTCCTCCTCCTCCGCCGCCTCCTCCTTATCCAAATCCGAAGTACGCAGCTCTCCTTTTCCGATTGCATAACACGATGCGGATCTTTTTGGACTTCTAGGTCCGCTACGACACCTGTTGGCGGATGGGGCAAACTCAGCTGAATGGGAAGGGATGAGAGAGATGGAGTAGGATGACAGATGTGGCGCGAGCACATTCAGCGTGTCCTAATCCCCCTCGCCCTCCGCCTCCTCTCATCACCCTCCCGTCGCGAGAGCAGCACCCTCTTTATCCACCGCTTACTCCTCTCATCAATCTCCTGTTTTTTGCCCCCCCAAGCTCTCTCGAAGGACGCCGCTGAGATCCAAGAGTGCCCGGCCACTTGAAGGAACCTCCGAGAACAGAGACCGCTCAAGACCGAGCGGTGTCAGAAACCAGATCCCACGACGTCAATCGGAGGCCAAGAGGTTGACACCAGCACCAACATCGGCGGCGTGCCTCCACCGAGGGAAGACGATCCCGATCTTGGTGATGGGGGCAAGATTCGAGTTTCCTGGGTGGCCGAACTACTGCCACCAGCACCGGAATCCTGGATCATCTTCGTCCTGTGAATGCACCCTGCCGTTTTGGTGTTGGTGTCCATTTCCACGCCTCCAAGTCACGGCAGGAAGTGGTCGCATGTGTTGGAAGAGGAGAGGAAGTAACATCACGAGCACAACTTCCGGAGCTGCGCACGGATGTCTTGGATCGGCCCTGGGCCGCTTCGGCGGCGTCCCTGGCGCCGCCTCGCGCGCCAGGGACGGGGGGGGGGGCGGCCAAGAGTCGAGGAAGACAAACAGTGCCAAGTGTCAAAACTTTCGACGGTCCGCGCAGAGTTTGTGGGATCTGCGCTGGGTGCCCCTACCTCTGGCACGCGGAGCGTGCCAGGGGCGGCGCCGGAGGCGCCGCGGAGGGGGCCCAGCGACATTCGAAGGGATCCGCGCGCGGCTCCGACAGTTTGTGTTCATGCCGTCTTTAGTTAATCGCTCCGCTCATTCCGCCGGCCCTGGAGCCCTCTGTAGGGCCTCTTGGCTCGGGGACCTCTTGTGGGAGTCCGTTGGGCAAAGCTCCTGTGAGCGGCGTCAGTTGTGGGCCCCGCAGGGCCTTCAGTCAGGCCTCAGCCCCTCAGCCTCAGCCTCAGCCTGCCTCAGCCTCAGCCTCAGCCTCAGCCTCAGGGCCTCAGCCTTTGCCTTCAGCCTCAGCCTCAGCCTCAGCCTGCCTCAGCCTCAGCATCAGCCTCAGCCTCAGCCTCAGCCTGCCTCAGCCTCAGCCTCAGCCTGCTTCAGCCTCAGCCTCAGTCTGCCTTCAGCCTCGGCCTCAGCCTCAGCCTGCCTCAGCCTCAGCCTGCCTCAGCATCAGCCTCAGAGCCCATGGAGTTCTGGGAACTAGGAAGTGGCATTCCCCTTAAGATTCACGAAGTGGCCTACAGAATGTGGCCCGGGAATGGAGTTCTGGGAACTCGAAGAGCACGAAGTGGCCTACAGTTGGCTCCGGGCATCCAAAATGTGGCCCGGGAATGGAGTTCTGGGAACTCGAAGACCACGAAATGGCCTACAGTTGGCTCCGGGCATCCAAAATGTACGCCGGGAGTGGAGTTCTGGGAAGTCGAAGAGCACGAAGTGGCCTACAGTTGGCTCCGGGCATTCAAAATGTACGCCGGGAATGGAATTCTAGCAGCGCCAAGAGCGATTTTGCGAGGATGTCCTACGCGATTTGGGCTTCGGCGGCAGCCGCGCCGGGTCCCGCCCCGACCCCCCTGAGGAGTCATAATGCTTTTTTGAGACCACTAGAAACCTATCAGTTTTCGCTGTTAGGTAAAAAAGTGCCCCTTGAAAATGGAAACGGCAAAAAAACGGCGACCAGAAACGGCAAAAAAACAGCTCCAGGATTGAAACCGGGGCCGGAACCGGTCAAAAAACGGCGACGGAACCAGTAGAAAAACGGCGTCGGAACCGGCAACAAAAACGGCAAAACGGAACCAGTAAAAAAACGGCCCTGTCGTTTCCAGGGCCCACAATGGGCCTCGGCCTCTTGCCGTCTTTATTCTTCCATCGAGGGGCAATGCCAGCAGGC